TCGCCAGTTATAGATGACTACAAATCCCAGCAATACATTATACAGCAATGCAAACTAATATTGCCAGCTATAGAGGACTACAAATCCCAGCAATACATTACACAGCAATGTAGAATAATACCGTTAGCTATAGAGAACTACAATTCCCAGCAATGCATTTTACATCAATGCAGAATAATATGAAGCTACATACTCTGTGCTGCTCCTGGGTGCCGGCCTGATGTCTCCAGCGAGGGTTCTCAGGTGGCTATGCACGGTCTATGGGGAGCTGTGCAGGGTTTCAAATGGCTGTGCAGGTTCTGTGGTGGGCTACGTGCGCTCTATGGTGGGCTGTGTGGGCTTATCAGGAGTCCCGGTTGGTCTCACGGGCCGGAGCGGGCGGCATGGAGGAGATTTGCGGCACAGAAAGGAGGAGGAGATTTGCGGCCATCGCTGTACACAGGTGCCGTGATTCACATAAAGGGTGCGGGGACCTTGCTGGGGACCTTGGCAGCCTTCCCATGAAGTGTGGCGCCTGTTTACAGCACCGGGTTAAGTTTAAAAATGTAAATCGCTGGTATGGGCGCGCTCAGTATTGGGGCATTTTCACGAGTACAAGTACTCATGAAATTGCACAGTATCTGCACCGGTATCAGTGCATCCCTGGGTTCAAGCTGTTCTACCACACTGTGCAGCAAGCTCCCTCTCCTCTGTTGTGGTTAAGCAGTACAGCTTGGTCAAGGACTGGCTCCAGGCTGCTGATTTGGCAATGAAAGAAGCTGTCGCTTATTGATGAGGTCATCAATGTAAACTTCCCCGAGCTAGGGGCTGTAGTGGCCTGCATATGCACTACGCTTTTTACATTTTAAGACACATCTGAGAGGATTCTGGCTTCATTGACAGCTGTATTTGACCTGCAGTTGTCCACCTCTTGGCCTGCAGTTGTCCACCTCTTGGCCTCCAGTTGTCCACCTCTTGGCCTGCAGTTGTCCACCTCTTGGCCTGCAGTTGTCCACCTCTTGGCCCGCAGTTGTCCACCTCTTGGCC